GCCGTATATCGGCTGAAATACATCGGGTGGCTTCGGGTCAGCCAAACATGCTCAGCATGTTCGGCCGACCCGAAGTGCAGAAGGAGTTCGACTCAGCCGATCCAACATCTGGATCGGCTGAGCCGAACCTCCGGCAGGCTACCCGCTGCTTTTCGGCCTATTCTCATAGAGGCCGAACAGCAGTGAGTGAATAGCCGAATGCCGCTGAGCGGCATTTGGCTCGGCTATTCTGCTCGGTACCTCTGTGGTACCGAGCAGGATAGAAAAAAAAGTAGAAAAAACAAAAATAGAAAACGATTGGGCTGAGCTAGCAGTGACAGCTAGCTCCGCCCAACTGTTTTCTATTGGCCGGGACCAGCTGTCATTAGAATTAAAGCTTGTCGGAGCCGGCGGGGATATGAAAGCCGACTCTGCTAAGCTCTCATCCTAATGACAGAACAGCGTCTGTGTCCCTGGTTGCCTGGTAAACATGGACGTCTTCTGTCATTACACTGCGGCTCCCCAGTACACTGAGAACCCGGCAAAGCTGCTGTAAAATCACAGCAGCTCCAACGGGTTCTCAGTGTGTAATGACACATGGGCATCCCTGGTTACCAGGTAACCAGGGACGCCCATGTGTCCTTACAACGAGAGCTTAGGAGAACCGGCAGTGATATGAATACCAACTCTGCTAAGCTCTCATCCTAATGACAGAACAGCGTCTGCTGGTTACCGAACTGCTGACGATGTTCTGCAATGGATTAAAAACATTATGGGGTCAAGTCACAAAACTGCCATAGGCAGCCAAGTGAACAACCCACCCGAAGTGAAGTGAGCCGAACCCTGTTCGGCTATTCACTTCAGGCTTGTACGGCTGATTCTGTCATTAAGATGAGAGCTTAGCAGAGTTGGCATTCATATCACTGCCGGCTCTCCTAAGCTCTCGTTGTAAGGACACATAGGCGTCCCTGGTTACCTGGTAACCAGGTATGCCCATGTGTCATTGAGAACACTGAGAACCCGTCGGAGCTGCTGGGATTTTTCGTGAGATGACGGCTGGCTCCGCCCAGCTGTCAGAAGCAGGTTGTCGGCCGGCCAATGGCCAGCCATTCGGCCAGCTTCGAATTTCGGCTCGACTGTTACCCTGAGTATTACCGCTCAGTATACCGCGAGCTGTATACTGAGACGCCCCGATCCCGACATGATCTAGAGGCAGAGCCAGCTGTACCTGCCCCCGTCCATTCCGCCAGTCAGCGCTGACAGATCGGAGCGGGGAATCCAGCCCCTCCCCCTGTCACAGCAGAGAGCCGTGACAGGATCGAGAGGTGAGCGAACCCGGTATGTGTTCGCTCACCTCCCGATCTACTGAGCCGACCTGTGACAGTCTCATTGTCACAGGTCGGCTAGAACTATGAGGTGAGTGAAAAGCACTCACCTCATAGTTCTCCTTTTAATAAGGCTGCCAGTGTGTGGACTCTAATACTTAAAGTGCCGGGCCGCATCCTAGAGGTGGATTCCATATGTAGCAAGCAGCAGAGGCTACCAATCTGAACCTTCTGAGCTCCCAGTTGAGGGAAAAATCAGCTTCCTGTACAGCACTGATATAATGTGACTAAATGCTATTTAGGCGGTAGTTAGATAGTAGTAGAATTGTGACATATATGTTGTGTTTTTTGCGATGTGTAACACAATCGTTTGTAACCACTGTTTGCTTTTCCTTAGCTGACTCATTCCCTGTCTTTCTCTGTCCACTTGTAAATCATGATACCCAACTCTCAGGAATTAAAGTATTTATTGGTCTGGCATTTGGGGACAAAATCTTTTTTTGAGGAGGGAGGGAATGTACAGGGTCGGGGGAAAGTAGGGCGCCTGCCTTAAGCTGGAGTGTCCCTAGCTAAATTTAGTGTTGTTTGCAGCTAGGCTATAGCTAGCCTCAACTGTGTTTATATTTTTTTGTGTTTGTCGGATTTCTCCTAAGCTTGGTTATTTCTGCTTGCTGCTGTTGAGTTGACTTCAGTTGTTAGTGTGGGAAGTAACATTATATTGAGTCTTAAAGTGACATTAAACCCTCAGATTTTTTAACATAAACCAATACTGTAATGTGCGCCTTACTGTTATCCATGGTAGTTTCCCTTCTCTTTGCTGCTCTTCCTTTTTAAATCCTCATGTCTTCTCATGCTTGGGGAGAACTTCCCTTTGCAGCTCAGGGCCTCTTCCTGTAGTGCTGGCTCAGGTTACAAGCCTATACAAACGTATACACAGACACTAAATATCCATTCCTGAGACAAGGCAGTCTGCTGCAAAACAGAAGTTCTGCCCAGCATGAGAACAGATACAGATTTAAAAGGAAGAGCAGCAAAGAGAAGGGAAACAACCATGGATTACAGTAAGGCGCACATTACAGTATTGTTTTATGTTAAAAAAATCTGAGGGTTTAATGTCACTTTAATATTTCTCTACTCTGGCCAGTCACTGAGAGTTTTATTCCAGGGGATGAATACTTGGATCAACCTTCTGGAAGGGCTTTTGCCTTCCTTCCCAGGCTTTGGCCTGGTGAGGACATCACAGTAAGGAGTTCTTTTTTGGGGGCCTCTCCCCAGCCGAGCGGATGAAGCAAACCCAGGGAATCAAAAAGGTCCCCACACACCTTACAATAATCGTACGATAATTGTGGGAAATCCCGCGATCGTACGATTATCGTAAGGTGTGTGGAAGCTGTGTGACCTCTACTACTGTAAGGTCGCACAACTTTAAACTTACGGACATGTTCGAAAACCCGCCGAGCATCGTACGATGTTCGGCGGGTTTGTGGCATTTCCGTACGATAACAGCCGTACGGGCCGGTGTGCGCAAGCGCACACTGCCCTTCGGCATTGCGGTCAGCGGAAGCCCGCCCCTCAGGGGGCGTGGCTTGCGATCATCGCAAGTACGGTCTGCCTATGCAAGATCTGCCTATGGTTGTAAGGTGTGTGCCCAGCCTAAGCTGGCCTGTGTTAGGAAAATAGCTTCCTGCTTGTTGCATCTTCAGAGGAGTTTGCTATGCTGAAAAATGTCCAGTAAAGCTTGGGGAAAGCTGCTGCCTGATGCACATTACATGGAGACATCATTACTCAGCTCTTTAAGGTACTTGTGACTGCAAACTTGTTTTTCAAAAATGAATCCAGATCCAACAAGTATACATTGCCCAGCAGAGTATTTCTTTACATTTTTGCAGAAGCACTTACAGTCATCATATTTCTAACAGCTTCAACTCTCTTAGGATATTAATTTAGTGTGAATACTATAAATAAAAGTATGAATACGATCACCTTTCTTTTCAGGTCAGAAATAATTAATGCATATTACACAGGTTGTGACAATAGTAATTGTAGTACATTGCTAGCAATGTAATACTTTGCTTCATAGTGATTGCTAATGGAACATACAATATCTCAATGTTTGGCAACACTTAGGAACTTTTTGCAGAGATATATTTGCATTAGCTTGTGATGTTGATTCAGTGTGTTCAAGTTAAAATATGATAAGTCATGATGAAAAACATGGTGTCTTTTTGTCCTTACAGAATTTGGGGTTTATTGGTTCTTCAATGGCTTCTACACTGGAGTTTATCTCTAGGAGATCTCCCATTGTGTGCACTGGAGGTTGTGTGGCATCCAGCCAGCCACTTGCAACAGGCATTGGCTTAGGTATTATTATTTTCATGTAATAACATGTTTGGTAGCGGGACTCACATTTGATGAACATGTGCAAACAAATGACTAGAAAGGTACAGCACAAAAACAAAATGGGCAGCACACTAGTCCTTCCACCCTATTTAAATTTAAATTAGTTTATTGCAGCTTGCAGAGAGCCTTCCCACAGGCTTAAAGAAGTTGTAAAGTTGTAAAGCAGTTTTTGGTAATGCAATGAAAGCTTATTGCAAAACATCCCTTTTATGTAATGAGTGCTGCCTTCCATCTGCCCATCACTTATAACAACTTCCTGGATTTCCTGTGTGCTTTGCATCTCTTTCCCTGCTGCTTAAGGCAGCAGGGAAATATCCCATCATGCATCCCTTCAAGCAAACAATGATAATGTTACTGTTCAGACATTGACTTGTAGTTCAGAAGGCAGGTTCTGTGTGAGTTACGACACAAGGAAGTGCATATTCACAGTGACATTGTGTCAGTGCAATGAGGAAGTCCATCCTACATATGGTACTTTATGGTTATTTGGAGTGGGAAAGAAATTTAGGTCTTCATGCAGTGCATTGAGACATTAAAGTGATCATTGATTCTGTTGATCCCTGATGACAGACCGGTACATAAAAGGGTATTTATGGTCAAAATCTAAAAATAATATGTATTTCTAATTATATATTTTTGCTTGTAGATATCCTGAAGAAAGGTGGCAATGCGGCTGATGCAGCGGTGGCTGTAGCTGCTGCCCTCAATGTCACTGAACCCACCAGCACAGGTATTGGCGGGGACTGTTTCTGTCTATTTTACAAAGCAGAAGACAAAAAGGTCTATGGCCTTAATGGAAGGTAGTGTTTACATTTCCCTTATCTGAGTGCCGTCTGCCTTTGTTTTGTACCAATTGAAAGTAATATTACATTCTCAAACTTTTTTTCCAATAATGAATACAGATAAAACAAATCTACATTGCCAAGCAGAGTATTTTGTTACATTTTTGATCAAGCACTTACAGTCATCATATTTATAAACAGCTTAAAGGAGAACTATGAGGTGAGTGCTTTTCACTCACCTCATAGTTCTAGCCGACCTGTGACAATGAGACTGCCACAGGTCGGCTCAGTAGATCGGGAGGTGAGCGAACACATACCGGCGTTCGCTCACCTCTCGATCCTGTCACGGCTCTCTGCCGTGACAGGGGAGGGGCTGGATTCCCCCCTCCCCGCTCTGATCCGCCAGCGCTGACTGGCGGAACGGACGGGGGAGGGGGCGGGTACAGCTGGCTCTGCCTCTAGATAGGCAGAGCCAGCTGTCAGTCACGCAGCTGGGCGGATCCCGGCACAATTGTCGGGATCCTCTTCAGCTGCGGCGTCTCAGTATACCGCGAGCAGCTGCGGCGTCTCAGTATACCGCGAGCAGCTGCTCGCTGTATACTGAGCCTAGGGTGATGGGAGGACGCTAGTTTGTGTCCTCCCATTACCCTAAGGAGAACTATGGGGAAAAGACTTAACCCCATAGTTCTCCTTTAAACTCTCTCAGCTTAGCTACCCTGAACTTGCTGTCCACAAGGAACATCACAGTCTCCAGCAGCTGCCGATCTACTAGCTTAGAGAAAGGAGGAGGGAGGAGAAGCAGGGAGAGTGACTTGCCTTGCTGTGTCTGTGTGTTTGTGAAGACACACACAGTTTACTGGTACACACAGGGGTGGCTTCATAGGACTCTGCAAGGGAAAGGAGCCACCCTAAAACAGGATATCAGGGCCAGTGCTCAGGGGACTGATATATAAAGATAAAATGCTTGCCAACACAATAAAGCAATACTTGTAGGGGTTGATTTTTACAAATTTTGCCCAGCCATAAGCTGGTTGAATGCCATTCGCATGGCATTTCTGCCACTAGATGGAGCCGAAAGCCCAAAAGTTTTTTTAAATCAATTAGGAAACGTACTATCCATATGCAAAATTGTTGATAATTTCATAGGGCATAGGGCCTGATGGGTGAATGTTGTTCACATGACATTCCCGCCACTAGATGGAGCCAAGAAGCATAGGAAATTCCGTTGATCTTCATCTCCATCTAGTGGCAGGAATGCTGTGCAAATGGCATCCACCCAACCATGCCACGTTTTCTAAATCAACTACAAAGTGTACTATCTATATGAAAAATTATGATCATTTCATAGGTCATAAGGGCTGATGGAGAAACATTTTGCACAGGGTATAGGTGGGTGAATGCCTTTGCATGGCATTTCTGCCACTAGATGGATCTGAGGAGCATAGGAAAAGTCTGTGCTCCTCTGCTTCATCTAGTGGCAGGAATGCCATTTATACATCAGCCCCATAAAGCTCACATATATAAACTAAGGTGTAAAGCGGGCCATACACTAAGAGATTTTTAATTTTGTTTAGCCGGCTGGGCCACACACTGTAAGAATTTCTAAAAGTTTATGGCAAGCTTTAGACGGCAAATGTCCCTTTTGGACTGCTCCATATTTTCTAATTTAAAGTATAGTTCCACTTTTGTAGTCGAATTTGAGGAAACTGGTTTATACAGTATGTTATGTTCCCAGTCACACAGGATACCTACAAAAAAATTTTTTTTTTTTTAAATATTCCTTACCTTTTAGATATCCCTTTGTTGAAGACCTTTGGGCAGATTCCAAGCTACTCTGAGCAGTTTGAAAGTAAAAGTAGAGGGACAAACTAAGGGACAGACTGAGTTTCCTCTCATTAACATACAATACTTCTAAGTCTTTAAAGCAGAACTCTGGGCAAAAATATTATTAACCCTTGCAGTGGTGTGGTGGGCTGAAAATAGAAAAGTTATACTCCCCAGAGCTGGCTTGCTGTTAGATTGCTCCTTCCAGTATCTCTCACCCTCCACTGCAGCGGTCTAAGGATCCTTGAGTCATCATGTCCAAAACAGTGTATAGGGCGTGAGGACGCAGGGGGATATACCTTCGCTGCAGTGGAGGAGGAAACGGGCAGGAGGGAGCGCAGCCAGGTCAAATGATCAGATGAGTATAACTTTTTTATTGTCTTCTGTAGACACAAATGGGCACTTAACCTTTGCAGTGTGGGGATAGCCCCACTGCAAGGGTTAATAATAATTTTTGCCTGGAGTTCTACTTTAACCCTTTGTTAATGCAGACAGTGTTTAAATCTAGTTTACAACTAATTATGAAATCTGCCAGCACAGTACAGACAGGAATAATTAAAGTACACATAACCCAACACAGCCCTCTCCTTAGCATTACATAAGGGGAAGCTAGGTATGATTTTAAGCAAGTAAAATACGCTTGGAAGTGCAGGCAGCAATTTCATTTTTGTTTAAGTGATGCAATGTGAATGAGGACATTTATCAAATATAAAGGAGGGGTTATCCCAATTTGGCTGCAAAAGTGGAAATGCAGTTTAAGCTCACGTTACCTGGATTTAAAGGGTTTGAAGTAATGGAAGTTTTGATTAATGTATGTATTAGGGATGCACTGATACCGGTATTTGGGTACCAAGTACGAGTACCGGAAAAAAAATTTTGGCACTCGCTAATACCATTTACCGAGTAACGGAAGTCCCATTCAGAAAGCCAGGTGGCGTGTAATGGCTCGCCACCTGGCTTCCTGATTAACAAGAAAGTCTGTCCCCTCTTACCTTGGTAAGTCCAGCCTGTCACCCCCGGGGCCTCTCCAGCCAGAACACGGCCTTCCTCCGGTACCCAGCCGGAGCCGTCTGGCCGGCCAATCAGGAAGCCGGGCGCAGTGTAATGACGCGATGCCCTGCTTTCTGATTGGACTGGAGGCCGGCTCCATGCTTCCTTGTCATGGGATGACGAGGGAGCATGAAGCCAGCTTCCCGGCCAATCAGAATGCCGGGCACTGCGTCATTACACAGCGCCCAGCTTCCTGATTGGCCATCTTCCTGACCAATCAGGAAGCCGGGCAGCGCATAATTACACGCCGCCCGGTTTCCTGATTGGCGGGAAGTCGACTCAATGCTCTCTCGTCACAAGTGACGAGGGAGTATAGAGCCACTTCCCAGCCAATCAGGAAACCGGTAGCGTGTAATGAGGCACTGCCCGGCTTCCTGATACAGTAAGTACTCGTGCTAGGCATGGGAGCATTTGGGCGAGAACGAGTACACACCCAAATACTCATTATCGGCACCAATATCAATACTAGTATCGGTATCGGTGCATCCCTAGTATGTGTTATGCATCATGTGGTTTGTGGGTATATTTGAGTGGGACTTGTTTATAGTGTTGTGTCCCAGTTCAGTGTACTGGCAGAAGTTTGCGCAGAAGGCGGCCTTCATGACATTCCCAGCTGTTATTTTGTACATTTATTGCCAGATATCCATGTCTGCTTATTTAATGTTTGTTTTTCTATTCATTATCTTTTCCTTATGTTATTTTTTAACTATTTGCATCGTAACAATTTATATACTTTATTCATTGTATGGTATGATGTGACATTACTGGGACTCCACTAGACATGTGAGCCTGGAAAAATTAGTTTTATTTCGGATCAAATAGCATTTTTATTCATTTTGTTTTTTGGATTTAGGATCTGAAATTTGATTCAGTTTGTTATATGGATTTCGGATCCACCCAAACTTTCTTTTTGTAAGGATCCAAATTTTCATTTCGGATCTATTTGGATCGGTTTCTTTAATTATAAATCAACTTAATATTTTGGAGTTTTTTTTTGGGGGGGTTGGTAATTTTAGTTCTGACACCTTGTGCTCCCCTACTGATCTTATCGACTCTCTCTATTCCACAACAGGAAGTCTCCCAACAGCCAAAAAAACCCATCTGATTAGCCAGAAAAGAGTCACATGTTCGATTTTAGTTTCGTTTTGAACAAAATTCAGACTTTTTGTTAAATGTACATTCGGATTTGTCCGCATTTGGAGGCATTCAAATTCGGAAATTTGGAAGCATTTGAATGTCTGAATTTAGTGAAAATCGTATGAATATCCACTCAGAATGAAATAAAATTTACATGTCTGGACTCCACTTTATGGCTATATAAGTATAGTAGTACCTGATGTGCTATACCCTGGAAACATTGTAATCACTGCAGCTCTGACAAATGGAGGAACCACTGCTGAAATGCTGAGCCCTACTTCAGTTTACAGTATCTTCATCTTCTGGTTGCTTTGTTGCTGTATTTACCAGCACAACCAATAATGGTGCAAGTTGTTTAAATACAGAACCATGGCACACAATGATCCTTATAGTAACATTATACAAAAAAGGTATTGAGCCACCAGAAGAACGGGACACCACACCCTTAAATATCAATATATAACAAACAATAAAAGGTGGGGCTTTTAAGGTGTCACTCTAGGCATAAAAGACACATTATATTTCAAATACATCTTTAATAAAATGGGTTGTTAAACAGCATCAAAACAGCATCAATGCAGTGTTATCTAAAGATGCTTGGAATATTGTTTATGACACTGTTGATGCTAAATATGTGGTTGTGGGGTCCAGAGAGGCACTATGCCTAAGGTTATTTTAGATAACACTGCATTGCGGGTGGTGGTGTTGATTCAATACCAGCGAGACTACATATATGCTTTGATGCTGTTTAACAACCCATTTTATTAAAGATGTATTTGAAATATTATGTGTTTTTTATGCCCAGAGTGACACCTTAAAAGCCCCACTTTTTCTTGTTTGTTATATACATATAGTAACATTAGAACAGTTGTTGACTTTGTGATGCTTTTGGCTGCCAAAAATACCAAGCGTTTGTCCGGGGGAAATGTTTTATCTGTTCCTGAGTGTATTAGAGCTGTAATATTAGTCAGTTTGTTAACATGCGAATTCTGTTTACTTTTGCGCAGTGGCAGATGTTCAAGGGCATTGAGTCTGCAAGTACTAAAACAACAAGGTTTCGATGAGGAAAACCCTGTCCCTCCCACACATGTTCACAATGTCACAGTGCCAGGTGCTGCGGCTGCCTGGGTCGATACTATTGACCTCTTTGGCAGCAAGAAGGTAATATGCTACATTAAATTTAGACCTGAGGTGTTCACAGTAATTCTGGCTTATTTTAGGGCTCAGTTGCTGCAAAAGGAAATTGTAATATTATGCAGAATACTATGCTACAAAGTAGGGCTGCCCATAGATGACTTACTGCTTCTGGGTATGGGAGAGAATGTGACCTTCTCCCCTTCCTCCCATAATGCTCAACTGCGCAGGAATTGCCAGGCCTGAACACTGTCACATAAGGGAGCGGAGAAGGTCATTAACCCTGTGTAATCTCTAATCTCACACTTAGGATGATCCAGATGATATCTGTACTGATGACCTGAGCTCATGAGCATCAAACATTCATGCAATGTCATCCAGGATGTTTGAGCTCACAAATATTTAAAAATGGTGTTTCATATACTAATTCCTGTCTACACAGGAGGCCCTTTTACCCCTTCAGTGGTGGCCCTCATTTATCAGTAGAGAGGCCCAAGGGGCATTTTCAATGTTTTCATTTTCCTTGTCAGCTCTACAGTTACAAGGGAGAAGGGAATAACTGTGACCTGCTGTATGTAAGAAGATTATCTTATGAGCATAAGTACTTTAGATAAAAATGTAATCCATACAAGAAACGTTGTCTCAAATATCTGTAAACTGAAACTGCCGCTCATGCCATGTACTCTCAATAGCTGACCCTGGCAGACATCCTACAGCCGGCCACTGAACTAGCGGAATCTGGTTTTCCAGTGTCTGAGGTTTCTGCTTTTCTATGGAACGCCACAGCCAACAAGCTCCAGACTCCAAACAACAAATATGGTACAGAACTGCTGTTCAATGGACAAGCTCCACGCCATGGGCAGCTCTTCAGAAACCCCTCACTGGCAAACACATTCAAGGTAGTAAAAAATTCTGATTATCTGATCAAATTTTGTTAGTAGATCTAAACCCAATCATTAAAATCGCATATAAGTTTTAATATGTTAATATAGTTTCAAAAGGTGTTTTTTTAATCAGTTTAAATCTGCAGCTTTTCTTAATGCCTGGTAATGTTGAGGGTACTTGTTCAGACACTTCCTAATATAGGGTGACAACTGTCTCCCAGTTGTGCTTCTGTGTTGTCCCCCCATTGCATGTATCCCTAGTGGAGCCTACAAGCAGCTATGTCACCACAGATTGTGCAGGTACAGTTCACTGTTGTCATTATCAGGAAGCCGGTCCTAAGCAAAGATGTGCAGATCATGCTGAACAAGTGCATATAGACAAGAAGTTGTTCATGATACACAGTACACAGAGCAAACTAGATGTCAACCAGTTAGAGTTTAGATCTACTTTTAGTCTCTGATTTGTATTCTTGTAAAGGAAATATATTATCGCTACATGGACAGAGTAGTTATGTTCCTGTTCAAGGAATATAGTTTACATTTTATCTCACTGCTGTATTTATAGAACTCCTACTAGGGTAGGAGTGTTTAGGATGATAGTTTGCCCTTATGTCATCATTGTCCTGACCTCACCTTGTGATGAGTTAATGAGAGCTTGTACATTTCGTCAGCTTGGAATTTCAAGATATTCTTTATGGTGTGTTGATAATATCCAAGTAAGGTTGCCTCTGTGAGAACACATTTTTTACTCATACTTCATAGGTCTTAAAGTGTATTGTGAGATTTAGCTTCCAATGGTAGCGCATTAAGGACGCATCCACTCGCTTATGACTTCTTTTAAGGGCTCACTTTCCCACTTTTATTGAATCCAACTCAAAAGTCCACACAGGTTTACCCTCGCAGGGGTTTCAAACACAAAGTACAGTTTTCGTTCTTCAGCAAAATAGCACTTTCAAAGTCCCCCGACTTTAGGTTGCATGTTTACCAAACACTCTGCAGCACACAGGTGACACACTCCTCAGTCCGCCAGCCACAGACTGGTCCCAGGGTGGAGCCCTCCTGACTCCTGCAGAGACCTCCTCTGTCACCCAGGTAGAGCCTTTAACCTGACCCAGCATCCTCCTCATAAGCGCTGTGCACAGGTGCACCATCATTTGGTGCTGGTCACCACTAAAGCCCGGGCCCAGGAATGGAGATTTCTTCCCTCCCAGTTCGCTTAGAAATCTCCCGGCTCCAGGATCCCAACTATAATCCAGAAAACCTGGAATTAGTTGTAAAACCAGCTCTTTCCTAGTAACAGTACTTTCCTGGAGCCGCTCAGCCCCTCTGGCTGAGAGTCCTGGGTGACCCTTTTTCCACTCTACATAGTGGCATTGCCACACACTGCCACAGTATCTATAGCCCACACTTTTTCAAGTTTTGGATAGAATGGGGAAAGGTTAGAACCCAGTCAGGTTTTACTGCTATCCAGTCAGGTTTTACTGCTAAAAGAGAGATTGCTAGGGTTGCCACCTGTCCAGGATTCACCCAGACAGTTTGGGTTTTAGATGCTGTGTCCGGGGTTTCATGGCAGCAGAAACCCGGACACAAGATGTCAGGCAGACAGGGGCAACCAAAATTAAGATTGGGGCTACTGGCCCCGCACTAAAAAATAGTCTCAACTGTGATATTTACATATGATTGGGTGGCACTATTTACATATGAATAAGCCGTCACTTGAAGAAAAGGTGGCAACCCTAGAGATTGCCCCTGACATTCTATTCTCAGAACAACTGTTTACTCAACAGAAAGTGAGGGAAACATCTGCAATAGGGAAACAGACAACAATAAACAGCTTACAGGGGTCCTAGCATTCCCCTTCTTAAAAAAAAAGTATTTTTCCTTTGGCGTGTGTTGCTGTTTGAGTTCCCTTCACTTCCTGCCTGGTGAAAAGGTTGTTCCCTGAACAGTGAGTAAGGGGAAATCTAACAACCCTAGACAGCAGTAAAAGCTAATTCTCTCCTACTCTATCCAAAACAAAGATAAAACAAGGTTTTGCTATAGATACACTTTCAATTAATTACTTTTCAACATACACCATAAATGCTTTCATTTCATTCATGCTGCGCCAGGCGGAATAACTCTGGAATTAGTAGAAAATGTTATGGAATTGACTTTTACTGCTCTTAAATATTAAAGGGATTATAAAGGTTTGGGCAAAATGTTTTAATATGGTTTATACATTCTAAAGTGATGCTTTATATATTTACTGCTTATATGCATTCTTCGTCTGCAAATGAACATTTAGCACAAGACAAAGGACAGCCGGGAGCACTGCAAAAGAGCAGCACAGCAAAAGTAGCTCCCTTCTACACACAGCTGTTTCTCATTGGAACTGTGGGCTGAGCCATTTAACCTGGATGACATTGCTAGTTGGTCGTGTTCTGTGTGTAAACATGTTTGCATTTAGAATTAGCAAAATGTCTGCCTTGGTGTACTCCCATATTCTAGTACAAAATTCTAGTACCAACATATGGCAATGCAAACATCTTGCATTTATACCTTTAGTCTGAAGAAGGTCTGCCTTTATGAATGAAGCTTCTACACTAAAGATTATTTATTCACTTTGTAGACACTGAAGAATTGCCTGAAAAAAATCCTTCTTTGCCTAGTGCAGTTATTGCCACTTTGAAAGTCTTCTCAATATAAGATATATTTACAAAGAGGGGAGAGGTGAGAAAAGGCTACAAAAACTGGTGCCTAGGACAGCAAATGTATAACATGCCCTGTTGTACCATTTTCTTATATGTCTTTCTTATTTAAATCTTATTTAAATCTTTAGAGAAAATAAGATAAAATATTAATTTCATCATACAGAAAACACCATTGATAGCCGGCAACTAAGACTTAAGTGGTTGAGATGGGATGCCACCACTTAGGGGAATACCAGGTCATCTTGACATAAGCGACCTCATTTGGACTTTACCACTTAATCTCATTGGGTATACCAGGTCATCTTGACCTAAACAACTATATTTGGACTTTAGCACTTCGCCTCATTGTGGCATACCAGGTTATCATGGCATAGGCAGCCTTGTTTGGACTATACCACCTAACCTCATTGGGGCATACCAGATCATCTTGACATATATGACCTTATTTGGCCTATACCACTTCACCTCATTGGGAGATGTAATAGAATGAGGCTGCATGACCAGTTGGCTTGTTGTGAACCCATTTTGCCTGAGTTCGCTCAAACCCATGAAAATCTGTGACTGATACATCCCGGGGGGGGTCAGTTGTGAGAGGCTTGGACAAACTCAGATGAACTGGGTTCACACTAGTGACCACAAAGATCCATAGTGAAGGCACAATAAGAAATCTAGGGGGCATCTAGTTTTCGTATATCCAAATATGCAACTGAACACACAAACAACCTGGGGCGGTGCAGTACCAAAGCATATAGCTCTATTGTTTTGTGGAGCTGGATTTCTGAGTGAGATCTGTTTCACTAAGGTTATTTTGTCTGCATGAAGTTGGTATGATTTTCCTTGCTACTTGATTCTTCCCACCACCTGAAAACATTCTCTTAGGTTGATTTGCACTTGGTCCTAGTGTGTGTAAATTTGTATTTGTATGAGCACAGTTGGGATTATGGGGGTCAGTAACTGCTGTGAATGGTTCTTTATACCCTTTAGCCCTGATCAATTTCACAATGCTTTATTACAATATGGAAATGTATGAATATAGATTGAAACTACAATGATTGTGTAGTACATTGAAACTAATAAATAAAAATAGTATGGGGGCTGGTCAGTCTTATTGCACAAGTTATCATTATTCTGTAACTTACATTGTTAAAGCAGTGATGATTAGTCTTATTTTGTAAATCATTAGCCTCAAAGAAAAGAGTACCATGCTGAGAAGAACTTCTTATCAGCCTATCTTTCTCCCACAGGCTACACCATATGCATTATTGCTAATCATGCGTAGGTGAGTCTTATCTCTCAGGACACCACATAACACTGAAATTCACACGCACTATTTGTAACTGATAAAACAGTTCACAATACCGTTTAAAGGCCAGGAAACACCTCTTTTCAACATAAGACAAAGTTTATAAAAGATAAGTTTCTACCAGTAATAAATGTTACAGACACCAACATCTGTAGTATGTTCAAGATATCACATTTTATACATTAAAGTGACATTAAACTCAGCAGTTAAATTTTAAAAATGCATTCAAGTACCTTAACTTGTCATCTCTGAATTCATGCTGACGCTGTCCTTCCTTTTGGAAGGTGGCTACTTTTGTTGCCCGTGGTCCCTTTGTGTTGTAACGTAGTCACCGCTCCAAGCTCACTCCTGTGATAGACTATAAACTCACGTTTAGTTTACTAATTTGTATTGAAAAGTCTAAGGCTGGCTTCAAACTGTATGCTGGGGTAACACATGTGTTATTGCAATTCACAGTAATGTACCATACATTTACAGAATGCACCACCAATGCACTTGTTTTGCAGCGCCCCACAGCACACAGTAACACAGTACTGTGCTTTTGTGATGCATTGTGTTGGAAAAAATTGTTTTGAATAATTTCCTGGTCCATTGTGGTACAATAGCAACCCATTTAAATATATATAGGCTGCCTTGGTGTAATGCATGTTAACACACAACACATTTTCACACAGTTTTTGATTTTGAAATTGTATTTGTCAAGCCGCTTGATGCCAGCAGGGCCATCAATGGCTTGAATTTCATCCGATTTAGCAGGAATGTATTTCCACTTTAGCAGCCATATATTGGGATGGCACCAATTTTATATTTGTTACATGTTCCCATTCACATAGCATAAGTTAAATACATAAACGCGGAAATTCAGAGGAGGGCGCATGCGCGAGCCCCGCTAAGATGGCCGCTTAGCGTGTGAGCTCAGCGCCACGGCAGCCGTAACTCCCCGACCTCGGCTCTGCGGTCACCTTCCCTACACAAGCTGCCACGGAGGTAAAGTCCCCAGATTCCGACAGTTACCTGGG